CAAAATGCCAAAACGGTTATTTGAAGTTTGACTCAACTTGACAAACTTATTGCCATACATCGGGTGACATTTGCTTAGATGTCTTAGATTAGATCTTTTGATATGTTATAAATGAAGAGGCCGAAAAAGAGCACAAATACGGCATTTTTTAAAAGAATATATAGGTTTATCGGCCATTAGAAAAGCAAAAAGCTTTAAAAAATATCTCGGATTTTGCTCTCCGAAACCCTGGGACTCTTCAACAATAGCTTTTCACTTCAATAGCCTTCATAAGAATAATCAAAACCACAGGCATAAATAGCTCAAAATTGAAGGAAATGGCCTGAAACTTCACAAAAATGTAAACATGAACAACACAATACACAGTAGAGATGTTTATTTTTAAAATATTTCTAAAAAGTACACAAGTGCCTAGCTTGGGCTACCTGTGTCTGTGATCGCCTGGCTATTTTGATGCTCAACTCAAACTCTTCAAAGGCGAAAATACATACTTGGATTTTCAAATTTTCTCACGAAGAATACACAAAAAGGTCACATATATATTTTGTTTCTTAGATTTGATGGTAGGTTTTTAGGATTGTCTTTAATATCATTGCATTTCTTCAAAAAGTCTTGAAATCTGGTCTCTTTTCTTCGAATTTGAAACTTCATACGGACTGTCAGGTTACGCTTGAGTGATCACGGACTTTTTGTCACCATTAAGTTTGATATGCTTTGGCTTAAATCAAGTAATTAAGGTTGAACTTGACCAACTTCTAAAACAATCATTTACCAATACTATATACTTTCGGATTGTAATTTATTCAAGTGATCAGTGATTGACATCCTTTTTGATCATACGAAAAACGAGCAGAAGACTGTGAATGAGCACCTTAAATGATCCAGATTTTTTACAAGTCTGTTAAATTAGAAACGGTTTATCCAACTAATAAACTGGAGGAGTTTTATTGTCTAATGTTGAATATCGGCAGAGCAACGAGCATTTGAAACGTGCGAACAACGCGAAAACGAGGCTGGTAAGTCCTCAATACTGATTTTCACTCAAACGTTTCCAATTTCAAACACCTGTAAGCGCACGTCAAAGACCATCACTGCGATATTAAAGAATCAGAAGAGAACCTTTACTCGCGTAACCTGAAATAACGATAGGCTAAGTAAAATATCCCGTTGAAAGTATATATCTACCCGCTTTTGACGAATTACAACAACTTTCCTCGCAATTTTCGAGTCATGTACGCTGCTGCTAGAGAATGTGAATTTTCTCATTTCGTTCGGAGGAAGTCTGGATATTATTTGACAAAATAAATAAACAATAAAAATCTTACTGGGGAAATAATATCACTACGTAAGCTAGATACGTACCACCAACATAAACATCGTCATGTTCTCTTACTTCCGCGATGACTTCATCAATACTTGTAAAAGGTTTGCCATTTATCCCACTTTTATCAGTCACATTAACCGCTATCGTCCTGGACACCTTTGACATCACAGAGGCCACTAACAGAAAATATGGAATGGAATGTTTAAAGGCCGACAATGAGGTCTTGACGAGGTCTCAACCCTACACGCGGCAACTATGTGGATATCCATCCATCCATATATGTGGTGTTGTTGGATGAAGGAAAAATTAAAGGTTTTTCGATTTAGTGTGAGGATTTGCCAAAACCGACTTACATACAATGATGAGCCAAACATCTGGCAAGAAAAAAGGCTTTTTCGCCGCCGAGCTTGTGCTCAGTCTCCACATTGTGAATGATGAATCAAAAGCCATGGGTAAAATGGGACTTTAAAATGGGACATTGTAATTGAAATTAATAAATTAGTATTGTCAATGCGAATGGATCGTAGAGAACACGACCGTGAGCAGTGACCTGTAGGGTAAAGAGCAGTGACCTGTAGGGTAAAGAGCAGTGACCTGTAGGGTAAAGAGCTGCACCCAATAGGGACCTTATAGCAGCTAAATCTGCTCAAAGCGCATTGCGTGACATTTCCCTTACGCTCTTTCCTTTCGTGTGCGTCGGTCTTTAGGTGCCTTTTACAAAGACATCGCTGAAATGTATAACAATTACCTGCATCTCCTGGAGGATAAAATACCAAAAACGTGTTGTTGCGACTGATGTTCCGTCCGTACTGGAATATGTCCAACTTCAAGTTTTGTGACAGAAGCATAGGCTTAAACGTTGCTGAAAATGAGAACAGCACAAACAAATGATCTTTTTCTTGTTATTTTTAAGTAATAGTATGGCTCTGAGGGAGATTAGATATTAAATGTCCCCGAAGCCGAGGTCAGATAAGTTGAAGTCCCGACGGCCACAGGTATAACATAACGTATGTATTCTAAAAGACAATTTAGAAGTAAAACAATGAAAAGTCCATAACCTGCTCATTCAAACTTCAGACAAGTGACTTGAATTTCTATTCATTAAAGTGTCTTAAGTGCGAATAACAAAAGCATTCTAGAAAGCGAAACAGAATCGACACATATACGCACTTGCGTACTAGTGGCAAGGAAATATTAAAACAATTCGGGATTTTTTTTATATAATTATCTTTGCTTGCTCTCTGGCAAGGCTTCGTTGTGAAAAACGCGCGCTGGAAATCGCATTTCCAAGAGTTATTATTTCAAAATTGATATCATATTTACTTACAAAAACAATTCTGATATGTGGTTTTCGATGATACGTATGACCCCTTATCACTGTCGCCATTCAACAATCTGTCAAAATAAATGAAAATAATTTAGACATTAAAAACTAAACGTCGTGATTGTGTATACAAACCTTATCGAACAGTATTATTTCGGTCTTTTTTTCATTTCTCTTATTCTCTTATTTGTATTTGTTCTATATTACAGTTAGCCTGCGTAGCGGCCCTAAGGGATTTCCTCCCCGCTCCCCGCTCGGCCGGACTTCCCCAATCCCCTTAGGGCCGCTACGCAGGCTATATTACAGTCCAATTCTTCGACTACTAGCTACACTCAAACTATTGTCACTTCGACGGTTGGCGGTGGAAGAGGAAGGAAGTCACCGCGTGTGCCCCTCCTTTCAATATAACCTTGTAATAGCTTCGGTTTACCAAATTTATACTTACTTCGGTATRATAAGAACACAAACAATAGCCAGGGGAACGAGTAATTCGAATGCAGTTCCAAAAGGTCTGCGAATCTAGGTTTTAGAAAATGAATTCAGTTTCAACGATTAACATCATGACACTGGGCACTAACCATTTTGGGCCATTATATGCATAGGTCTTTTAAAAGTCCCATGTTGAGGAAAAGGGAAACCAAGGCCCGTAACTCCCAAGTTATCTTCATTTTAAGAGAGGGGGAGCGTTTCATATGGCATGCTTCCATATGAAGACAATTTAGCTAAAAAGAATAAAAGAGAAGAACTGGGTGTCGAGAGATTAGTAGTAGCCTGTGTACATCCGTTTCTCACCCCTCCAAAAAAATCGGGGAGAGAACGTCGTTCTCTCCCCGATTTTTTTGGAGGGGTGAGAAACGGATGTACACAGGCTAGATTAGTAGTAACTCCTCCTGCTTTTCCTTCCCTCCTAGCCCCCTCCCCCTCCGGCGGCTTTTTTGCCTTAACACAGGAATCCCATAGAGTAGAGTTGCCTGCGAAGGGAACTTATTAAATATTAATTCAATCAAGGATACACTCAAAAAGAAATTCTTTTGTGCTTAATTCTTATACACAATGACAGACTTAGTTCGAGGGAACTATTTCTTGTGAGTGGAAGTTCAGTAAATGAACGGAAAACCGAATAGATAAATCAATATGTATAAATAATACATGAAGATGTAAACATACGAAAAGAGAGTAAGCCAAAATGAGGGCGCGTGGTCTCAATGGAAAATACGTGGTGATTTCGGGGTAAGGTAAAGGAAGGAACTCGACCAAAATCTCTACCAAAAGAATACTTTTTAAAAAACTTGACCAGAAACTCGACCAAAAATTGATCAAAAACTCGAAAAAAGCTTTGTCAAAAGCTCGACCGGAAACTCCACCAAAAACTGCACAGAAAAAAAAAATGAGAATGGTTTGCTCTGTATTAGCCTCAAAACCAAGTAACATATTCTTTTGTTTTATTGATAGCCTTACCCTGGTACCAGAGTTTTGATCCCGGGGGTATGATATTTTCTCTCTTCGCTATTGTTTTTGTCGGCGCGAAGCGCAGTAAAACAATAGCGAAGAGAGAAAATATCAAACCTCTGGGACCAGGGTATGATAGCCTGTGAAAACACATGGAATTTGAACAATAGAATTGATATTGAATCTCACACTTTTATTCTCACAATTACGAATATTTGCGCACAAATGAGGCTAACACAGAGCATTGGAGAATTCGAAACTGGATTATTCAACCCCACATTTCCCTGCTGAATATCAAACCCCTCCCCGGCTTTAAAGTTTCTATAATATATACAACCCTATGAATAACAAAGAAATTGGAATTGGAAGCAATTGGAAACTAAAGGTAGTTAATTTTTAGTTCTCCATACATTTCTTTGTATTTTTCACGCGTGTCACGCGCCGATGACCCACCCGGGGGGGGGGGACTCCCTTATAAACGTTGGTAGGTATGCTGGACCTTTTAGGTTCGAAATCAGTAAAACCCTCGCGTACCTTTTAGGTTCCTGAGCTGACTCCGTACCTTTTAGGGTCAATTTTCGAACAACAGGGAAAAGAATGAAGAGGTGTTAATAAAGAAATAGATTTTATTAACCTCCACAATCTATCGAGATTGATTTTCTACAGTTTGTTAAACTTAAGCTTTTCTCTTGTTAAGGGCGTCAAAAATGGTCGTACCTTTTAGGGTCTGGAATCGATACCTGAATTAATCAATTTATGCGTACCTTTTAGGGTCATTTTTCCATCCGTACGTCGAGCATACCTACCATCTTTTATAAGGGAGTCCCCCCCYCCYYCCCGGGCGATGACCCCGGAAATTATAAATAAAGGTATGGAGCTAAAAATGAGTTTACTCGCTCCCTAGATAAACTGAGTTCTTCAGAACTGTTTAGTTACCTCCTTTTCGTAGTATCTAACGTTTGAAGTTAATGATTCTTTCAGAATAGGAAGAGGTTTTTGACCGGCATTTTGTTCGGGTAGGTAAAGTCTCGCAAAATAGAAAGGATACACTGTGAAATCGATGACAAATACTTCCAGGTGAATTCCTTTTCTGAAAAAATAATTAATTCCAAACCTTAGATACTGCGAAAAGGAGTTAAATGGACAGTTTTGAAAGACTTTGACCTAGGGAGCGAGGTTTAGCGTGTWTTTCATGCGCGTCACGCGGCGATGACGCCGGAAATTACCAGAAAATTCATGGAAGTCCATGCAAGTCCTTCAATCAAAACTATAACTGCATCTAACGTTTGCAATCTGAATGATTCATTTTGGAATTGGAATTCAACGAGAATTATTTGACTTCGAGTCCTCATTGTATTCTTGCCCTATTTTGCGAGACTTTGTCTGCCCAATTAAAATGGCRTTAAAACCGTCACTTCATCTAGATATTTTAGATATTTAGATATTTTGATTCGATGTACAGAAGAACGCACACGAGGTTCTGGTAAAACAATGGGTAATCTTGATTTATTATTTTATTTCCCTGCCGGAGCCTCGTCTGCAATTCTTTTGTCCAGTAGTCTTCGAACCAAAATGTCTAAAGTCGGCTATTATGTGAAGCCAGACTGGGAATTGTTAAAATATAGACTTAAGTGAACAAGATTTTTTTAAATTCGTGTTAATTTCATGAAAAATTAAACTTAATCATAGCATAAGGTTTTCATAGACTAAATCACTGAACCGCGAATGGTTTCGAGTCTAACGCAGGAAGACCTCATCTAGCAATGTGCTTCCTTGTACTCTTATCATGATGCACAGAAACACGATTTTAGGTTACTTTATATTTTATAAATTCTTTCAACCGGCAAAGTGCGTAGATTTCTCATTTTAAGGTCTTTTAACGACGATTTTCGCCGGTCTTCAATTACATAATAATAGGGACCACAAACAGGCGAAATCTACGCTAAACTGAGTCTTGATTAACATGTGATTTTAAGGCTGGAGAAATTTTCAAATGACCCACGCATTAGCTTACCTGTAGRATGAAATTCTTCCAAAGGAGAAGGCGAAATTGCCGAAAGCGGTTCGCCATCTTAGACGACTTCTTGAAATAATGCCACAAAGAGGAAGTGCTGGATACCCGGCACCCGGGAACGAATTCCAAAATACTAGATACCCGGGAGTTTTTAATTTCCTCGAAATTTAAAAGATTTAATAATTACTTTTAAGGTTTAAAAGACTCCTGGTCTGATTTAAAACAAAAAGGCGCTTGTTATAGACCTTGAACATTTGAGTGATACACATTTGTCGAGTCTCGGAATACCGGAAATGGACACTTTGAGTTAGTTAAAATAATTTCGAACGTCACGCGTGACAAACTGACGGGAACAGTTGTCAAAATACATAGATATCCGTAAGTCTAAAATTTACTATTTTCTAATTTCGATGGAATTAAAAAAACCGGATATCTAGTATTTTGAAACTCGATCTTTCCCGGGTGCCGTACAAATGCAGACTTGAGACTTGAGACACTTAGTTTTCAAAAGAATTATATTGCCATTATAGGCTGGCTGACAAATATATGGTATGCGGAAATTTACACACAATGAAGGTGTAGCTTTCGAAAGCGAATGGCCATCATCAAGCATTTATTTAGGCAGAATATTAAAGGTTGTAATAACAGCTATCCATTTACAGTGAGTACTGACATGTGCATATGCAGATTTTTAACCTCTCACGGTCCACCCTATCAGTCGCTGTAACGTGAGATGTCGCACAGAGGGGAATTTTTTACGAAACTCTCGACTTCTGGTGCCGGGCTGAATTTCCCCATCGGACTCCGGGGGTACTCCCATATATTTGCTATACGGGGACGTGCCGCTGGCCAGGGTATGGTTTTTGGCCTTGCTGTCTTAAACAGGGTATACATTTCACCCGAAATTGTCTTAAACAGGCTCTACAATTTAGATAAAAACCGATATAATTTTTTGTGTAATATTTTCATAAGAAATACCGTAGAAATGGTAGAAATACCGTTTCACTGTAGCAGGATTAACGTGTTATCAAGAACCTCTTATTGTCTTTGATGGATGTCAGTTTAATTGCAGTTTTGATGGTTGCGGCGTAGATAGCGATTCCGTATTTTTCCGGTTTGTCTAGTGAACAGGTTATGGATTTTCACTTTCTAGTGTCTAAATCAGGGATTTAAACAGGATCAGGGTTTTAGACCGCTGGCGGCACTTACCTATCCAAAACGGGGTCGAGTACTACCCCCCCCCCCCCCCCCCCCTCAATCAGTTGTCCAACAAGTCATGGTTTTTTTGTGACCTGGATTTGAACCCTCCAAATGCTTGAAAATGCATTATTCAGGTACCTTAGAAATACGTCCTTTCATTGTTGTCCCATAACAAGCGATAAAATACCGTCGGCCGTTGTACTCTGAATTATCTTTCAACAACCATCGCTTGCAGGGACTAAATGCAACAGTTATTGCACAATATATGATAGGGCTTTTTTGAGCAAGTGCCACGTGGTGGTGTGTTTCAAATAGGGAATCCCGTCATCTATTGCGCCTGCCACTCATGTCCGCTTCATCACGTAAGAATCTATTTTGAAGGTATTTCATGTAATTGAAATATCGTTTAAAGGGAGACAAAGCTCGTTTTGCTTTTTAGCTTAATATACTCTACTTGCTATAGGTTTTTTTCGTTAGAAATCATATTTCACATTATTCACATTTCCCTTTTTAAGTGTTGGTCAGTACCGCAGCTGTATGTCACTTTGATTCTCGCCCCATGTAAGAGAATCCAGAAAGCTAGAGGATTCCAAGCCTTAAGGTTCCGAATTCCAAAGAATGTATTTTTGGATTTCAAAATTTTTGCTGAATTCTGGATTCCGGAATCCATGATACGGAATCCGGATTCCAAAGCGGTTTTTTACCGTATTCTTGATTCTCTTACATGGGGCGACACTTTCGGCCTTAATACTCTCCTGTTTCATCATACTTGATGGAATACTCACTTTTCGGCTATGAAATTTCTTCAAAAGATTCCGAAGTATGGGTCTACCATCAGATATCACCAAGGGAAACATTTTCTGGAGAACCTGGAGCAATTTTGCTCCATCATTTGACGATGTAATGTAAACAGGAGCGGATCCAAAAGTTTTGAGGGCAGCACATCTATAAATTCTCTGTTGGTCTTTGTCTCTGTCTGTTATGCATGTGATGATATGAATTTGCATTTAACTTCCTCAAAATCGGCAGGTTTTGATAATAGTGTAATTCATCGACTGACCGGGAACACCAATCTTTTAAAAGCTTAAAAGCCTTGGAATGCATGTGTTACATAAAAACTACTCAAATTTTATGTTAAATGTTTCTTTGACCAATCCTGAATTAAATTCAATCAGGTTTTAATTTGTCACAAATAATACTTTTTCAGAAAAATTATAGTGAAATGTGTTCCAATCAAAAAATTATTGAAAGACTTGAAAAAGATAGGAAATATGGACGGCTGGAGTGAACGCATTTAAAATCCGTGAAATGTACAAAATCAAAATACCATAAATTTGTATTAAAGCTGCCGTGCAAATCCTTTGAAGATCACCATAGTTCTTTATGAATCTATTTACTAAATTTCACAAAAAGTATAAAAATCTAGCTAAATCAGTTCAAGGATTAAGTGCGTTCACTCTACACTGGAGCCCTTCAACGTATATTGAATTGCATCGTAGCTGATGTACCAAGGTTATTAACTGACAACTAAAGTAGTTCTAGTTAAACAAATATTTTATTATACCAACACATTGAAAAATTTAATTTATGAATTTCGTACATTTTTTGTGCTTTATTTTATGACGACATTGTTATACTATCTCGGCGCTACTTCTTTTAAGAAGACTTAATAAAAGTCCTATTATTTAGAAAATACTGTATTCTAGTTGGTTTCAGAACCTTGAATAATATTAGCTGCCAGTCTTTGACGCATGCACGAAATTTAAATCCCTTTCTAAAAAAAGGAGTTCTGCAGAAACTCGTTGCTCTTTACAGTTTATGTTACAGTTTCACTTTTTTCGCCAACATTGTTGCCTACACCAGATTCTATGTTACTAACTTTGGATTGTGGATCACACGACTTCTCCACATTTTCCGAATCAGCGGATGTCTCTGCTTTAGGAACAGGCTTAACATCTTTTAAGGACACAGGATTTTTAGCATTTCCTTTAGACTCACGTTTTGGCCTTGTGGAGCCTGTAGGTGGCTTTTGTTTAGTTGACAGAGCACTAGCTGGTCTAGCTTTACCATTTAATGGCGCTGTTGTTTGTTTTACTGTGGGTCTGGCTGTTGTTTTAGAGCTGGGTTTTGATACTGAATCACGAGAAGACTTCACAACTGAAGGCGCTTTGCCGCCAGCCTTTTCCGGTTGTCTTGCTGTTGATGGTCTTGCACTTTGAGACTTTGTTGTGGTGTTGGGTGCNTTGATTTTTTCTTTCTTTCTTTCAAGTTTAAAGTTTCAGACGGAAAATTTCTAAGTTGAACGTAGTAGTTAATTAGGTATTCAAGGGCAATATACATTAGTATTCAAGGGCAATATATAGATACATCCCTCAAATGGGGGCAATATCTAGATATATCCCTGAAACTTCGATATAAAGCACTTGAATACGCAACGAGCTGGGGAATAAGCGAGATACAACACTGTGAATAACAAAGAAAACTGAATCAAGTATGAAATAAGTATGAAATAAATCTCGCTTATTCCCCAGCTCGTTGCGTATTCAAGTGCTTTATATCGAAGTTTCAGGGATATATCTAGATATTGCCCCCATTTGAGGGATGTATCTATATATTGACCTACGGCCCTCGGGATGTATTAGGCTGATTGCCTCCGTTCTCGGTATGTAACTCTTACATATCCCTGAAACTTGGATATAAAGCACTTGAATACACAATGAGCTGGGGAATAAGCGAGATACAACACTATGAATAACAAAGAAAACTGAATCAAGTATGAAATAAAAGCATATAAGTTTACTGTGAAATTCCTGTAAATCTAAATCTAGATTCCCTGCAAGCTTTTTAGGCGAGTACCTCGAAAGCTGCCGAGAGTGCAGTCATAGCTAAGGAGTCCAGCCGGCATGGTGGTGCTGGCCGCGTAGGCATGTTGGTTCTACAATCGTTGCAAAAATGCTTGGGCAAATGAATTTTCTTACTTTAAGCAACACCAGCAGACAATTTCATACCCTCTCGCCTCTTTGACATTGAGCATGTTACCATAGTACTAAAACATCCAAAACACGACCCAACATTGATAAAAAGGGCCTAGGGGGACAATTGTGTGAAATAAAGTAATAGTAGAAAAAAGTTGGCTGAAGACAATTTCTTTACTTTTACTCCGACGAGGGATTAACGTCCGAAACGTCAGTAAGTTATTTTACATACTTTTTTACAGTGTTAAATTTATCTTTTTACACAACTGTTTCTTTAGAAACACCGACGCAGCTCACACTAGTTTACCGCTAGTTCTCACCAATTTCTTCTATGGTCCAAGGTATTTTGGCAATGATTTGTAGGTATAAAAAGGAATAGCGTAAAGTCAACCCATGGAGAGTAATGTATATATTATTAGACGAGCAGGCAAATGTGCACGTCCAAGCATGCTGGTAAATAAAAACAATGTGGCTAAAAAAGTTAAAATGTTTTAAAGTTACCTTTTTCTTTGGTGGTATTGGGTAATTAGTAGTTTCGATTAAGTCATCAACTCTATGTCGACGTAACAATATATTGGACATGGCATTCAGTGCATCAGCGATTGTATGATAGCCCTAAATATAATGACCAGTAAGATTTTATAAAATTGTCATCAAGGGAAATAATTGGAACAGTCCGGAACATTACCAATTTTGGTAATATCATTTCCATCACAAAATGGCGGCCAAAGCTTTTTCCGAACCCTTTCCTTTTTAGCCCCTAATACTCAAATAAAGCTCCAATCCCATGAACCTTTGCCCGCCAAGGCTTTCTAGTATAACAAACGAAGCCATAGCTGTGAAGTATTGTATAAGACACGTATACGTTTTCAAAATATTCGAGTTTTTATGCTGCTTCTTTGCGATTTTTCGACTAGTTTCACATACTAAAGCGATTTTTAAAGTATCTTTGCCCCCGTAGTTGGCAATTTGGCCCACCTAGAGGCGATTTAGAGTGGTGTTACTGTCTATTACAGTTAGTTTCGTGTTGAGGCATAACGGAACTTTTTGAGGCATCCTCTTYAAAGTTGTAAAAGCTATTAATCGAAAGGAGCGATGGAGGAGCATCGGAGATTCCTCGATAAAAGATGTTGTATCTGTAGTATTTCCTTGATAGAAAGTCACAATAGTCACAAGTCAAGAAAGAAAAGAAGAAAAGAAGGAATTCATCGATGCTGGGGCATTTTATAAACATTGAGGAGGAAAGCAGCGATAAAATGGAGACGTTGGGATTGGTGCTAAGTGTGCGAAGTATCTTTGATAAATATTAAAGTACACTACTCTTATCATGTGTTGTGCTGTCATTATAACAGTTATAAACTACTAGAAGATTTTTACTAAAATAAGGAATGAATTCGTTATACTTGAAGCTAAGAAAGGGAAAACTCAAATCACCTTGATTACAATCGAACGTGCGTTNACATTTTTTGTGCTTTATTTTATGACGACATTGTTATACTATCTTGGCGCTACTTCTTAAGTCCTATTATTTAGAAAATACTGTATTCTAGTTGGTTTCAGAACCTTGAATAATATTAGCTGCCAGTCTTTGACGCATGCACGAAATTTAAATCCCTTTCTAAAAAAAGGAGTTCTGCAGAAACTCGTTGCTCTTTACAGTTTATGTTACAGTTTCACTTTTTTCGCCAACATTGTTGCCTACACCAGATTCTATGTYASTRACTTTGGATTGTGGATCACACGACTTCTCCACRTTTTCCGAATCAGCGGATGTCTCTGCTTTAGGAACAGGCTTAACATCTTTTAAGGACACARGATTTTTAGCATTTCCTTTAGACTCACGTTTTGGCCTTGTGGAGCCTGTAGGTGGCTTTTGTTTAGTTGACAGAGCACTAGCTGGTCTAGCTTTACCATTTAATGGCGCTGTTGTTTGTTTTACTGTGGGTCTGGCTGTTGTTTTAGAGCTGGGTTTTGATACTGAATCRCGAGAAGACTTCACAACTGAAGGCGCTTTGCCGCCAGCCTTTTCCGGTTGTCTTGCTGTTGATGGTCTTGCACTTTGAGACTTTGTTGTGGTGTTGGGTGCTGCTTTAGAAAGAGGTGCTGATAGTGGCCTTGTCATTTTCTTRTCTTTGGTTGTACTAGGATTTATGCCAGCGGTAGTAGGTTTAGAAGTCGTTCCGTTGGATTTAACRCTTGTTGTGGCAGCTCTTCCTGTCGAGGTTCTTGAGCTAGTTGTGTCTCTTTTTTTCATTTCTCTTATATTGCTATAGTGTAAAGCTTCCAAGATTAATAAAGCATTATGGAAAACGTTACATGTGTGTTGTGTTATAATTTGAGACTATTCTCGTTTCAGCCCCTGCCAAGAGTACCRAAATTGTTTCAGCCGTCGGTAGCGTGTCCACAGTGCCAAAAACCTAATGATGAGGATTTTAAYTTTTGTCAGAGGTGCGGATATCAACGGAGGTGTCTATCACCTCACGGAGACAAGGGAAAGAAAATTCSGTTCCCTGTCTGTGAGGAAGAGATAGCAGCTAGGGCTAAGCAGTTAAGTGATACCCAGAGCAGATCTCGTTATGCGAAACAMAAGTCAGCACTGGAACTGGAATTGTGCTCATYTTTAGCTTCACTGARGACACCGAAAAATATGAGTACGGYGCTACCACGTGATATAGTAGCGTTCTTGATTTGGAAAGATCAGGGAGGCAAAACAGTTGTGCATAGTACGGGKTGTAAATATTTTGGAAAATCGAAGCAGGAGTGTGGAAGTTGCCCCAAGCGACTGGCGCATGGTACGGTTGAATCACTCATCGGGAAATTGCGTGCRATATTTGCAGAAGCAGGCAGAGGCGTCGAGTGGCATGCATTACTTGGGGTTGGTAACCCGGCGGCGGACAGGTCGGTGAAACACTACCATACTAGCGTGCGTGCAGAACAATTGAAGGCTTATGTGACGCCTCGACAGGCTGAACCGGTATTGGTATCTGACTTGGAGGCCTTAGCCCGGCACATTCACGGGAAAATCCAGGATTGTAAATCCGATCCCGTACAGCTGTTCTTGTTGGCYCGGGACCAGGCGGTATTCAAGATGTTGTTTTTCTCAGCGGACAGGGCGGCGGACTTGTTAGGCCTACAAACCCAGACTATTCTTAGGTTCCCTGATGACTCCGGTYTGTTATTTAACCAGATTTGGACTAAATCGTTACGTTCAGGGGACAGTAATGTGTATGCGTTAAAAAGAGGGCGGAATAAATGGATTTGCCCGGTGGAAGGTGTAGAAATGTATTTGAATATATGCAAGGCAATTAGAKTGRACGTCAGGTCAGKATTCTTATTCCGCTYCGTGTCGAGACAAGGGGCAATAACTCAGAACGCTTTGGAGCCAGCTGCGGCACAGGCGAGACTTAAGTTATATGGGGGCGAGTTAGGAAGTTTGCTCTCTGGACCTCATTTGACGCTTCATGGGTTCAGAAGCGGAGCGGCAATATCGATGGCACTGGCGAATGTCTCGTTGGACCAAATCATGGATCATGTGGGATGGAAAACAAGTAAAACGGCTCTCCATTACATTAAACTGAAAGAGGTCTTGAATCCGGCTGGTCCAGCCATGCAACTCGCAAACATGGACTTAAGTACTGGCAGAGAGTATAAGGCAGAGAATCAGTTGAAAGGCTTTGTACAGGCTTTTCCAAGTTAAAATATATAGCCGTTGTAAACGGGTAGCGCACCAAACATATTAAATAAATTATAGTGGAYAAGTAAGAGAAGAAACGATAAAATCCTCCTCGGTCGGGGGGAGGGGAGTTGGATAAGGATTGGGAAGAGAGGAGTGGAAATGGAGAGCATRGAGTTTTCAGGAAGAAGGGGCATGGGGAAAGAATATCGCAGGTTGGCGAAAATACTGGAGTAAGAGGGTGGAGGGAGGAGTTGCGCCCATACCTTAGAAGACAATAAACTGAGGCAGAATAATATACTATTCAAAAACGAGATACCCTACAAGCATACAAAGGGTATCGGCACGGGCGTGGTTTATAACCTTCCTTAGACGGGAACAGCAACACATCCAAGTCTCCCTCACGAGCCACGCAGATCACCTTAGAGGACATTGCCATTAATGTAGGCCACCAAAATTCTCTAGGGTATCCCCCTGGCACAATAATAGT